AGAAATAGAAAAAATTAGTGGGTGTGGTGGCAAGTGCCTGTAGTCCCAGCTACTCGGGAGGCCGAGGCAGGAGGATCACTTGAACCTGAGAATCTGAGGTCGCTGTGAGCTAGACTGACGCCATGACACTCCAGCCCAGGCAACAGTGAGACTCTGTCTCACAAAAAAAGTACATTCAATCTCCTGACAACCAGCTTTGGGTGTCTCACTATCACATTATCTAATGAAGTCCATCATTCACAAGATTCATCATTACCTGCTAAAACTCTGACCCTCCCACTTCTCATTTGGGTGAACATTGCTTTAAGGCTTCAAGTATGTTTAAATCACAAAGCATTTGTCATCACGACCTACAAATTTTAGCATTCCTATAAAATGGTTTTTTTACAAAGAAAACAATGTGTCCAAAGAGGAACACAGAATCCCTAGCGAAAGCAAATGAAAAGCAGATCAAGACACCCTGTTCAATAAAATTACCTATTCCACATTTTTCTAATACAAGTCAACTCTGAAGTGACAGCTAAGCCAATAATAACCACTAATTTTCAGATCTGATTAAATATATTGGATCCATCTGCGTCTTGTGAATTCATGGGGGAAAAGTAAGATAAACACATGGGATTCAATATTCAAAATAAAGACTGCTTTTTTAAAGGACCATTACTTCAAAAGTATTTACCACTGACAATTCCCTCTTCTGCAGAGTCTTAATTTTAATATTATTAAACTGTGAAACTGAAAACTGAGGTTGACATAATAACACATTTCAGGAAACAAATAATTTGAGCCAACCTTAAAACTCTATCACTGTGCTCCTTGGGCCAGGCGCAGTGGCTCACGCCTGTAATCCTAGCACTCTGGGAGGCCGAGGCGGGCAGATTGCCTGAGCTCAGGAGTTCGAGACCAGCCTGAGCAAGAGTGAGACCCCGTCTCTACCAAAACTAGAAAGAAATTAATCGGACAACTAAAAACTATATAGAAAAAAAATTAGCGGGGCATGGTGGTGCATGCCTGTAGTCCCAGCTACTCAGGAGGCTGAGACAGAAGGATTGCTTGAGCCCAGGAGTTTGAGGTTACTGTGAGCTAGGCTGATGCCACGGCACTCTAGCCCAGGCAAAAGAGTGAGACTCTGTCTCAAAAAAAAAAATAAAAAACCCTATCACTGTGCTCCTCTAGCTAGAAGACAACAAAGAGGTAATGTACCAAACATATGAGAAATATACTGGCTGTAAACTGGGCACAGTGGCCCACACATGAAATCTCTGCACTTTGGGACACTGAGGCAGGAGGATAGGTTGAGGCCAGGAGTTCAGACCAGTATGGGCCACAGCAAGACCCCATCTCTACAAGAAGTTTAAAAAATTAGCCGGATGTAGTGGCACACGCCTGTAGGCCCAGCTACTCAGGAGACTGAGGCAGGAAGACCAATCACTTGAGCCCAGAAGTTCAAGGCTGCAGTGAGCTATGATGATGCCTCTGCACTCCACTCCAGCCTGGGTGACAGAGCAAGACCCTGTCTCCAAAAAAATAGATAGATAGATAGATCGTCTATAGATTTTTCCTTTGCATGCTTATTGGTAAGAACATGGGAGCATTCACACTATTTTTTCTTATTTTTTTTTTTTAAATTAGAGGCTCCACCTCCTTTGGGAAGAATGAGCCATTCTCATTTTTGTATAGAAAAACACTACTCATTTCAAAATAAGTGATGGTTTGCTAGTGTAAGAACGAACTAACCAGAGGTAGGACAGACAAGCATTCTCCCTCTTACTCTATCCTATGACTACTAAATTCCAGAAGGAATCAATGACAACTCAGCATACTCTGTAGCAGCGAGAGTATGGAAAGACAGTCTGGACACCACATGTAAGAACAAAGTCTAAGTTAAATATGTAGGGCTGCACTCTGGTTTTTGTTTTAAACTCTAATAGGTAAAACTTTCTTTCACTGCAAACAGAGACAGTATTTTAATTATCAAGCTATGCCATACTCTACTGATCTAGTCTTAGTCTTAATTATAAGAAATCTAAAATCAGTATTTTAGGACTAAGGTGCTGTATCCATTTCATTCACTATTTATGAATGATGACAATTAAATCTTCTTTGGACTATACAGGAAATATTGGGTGGTCTCAGCTCCAACCATTTGCTTTTAAAGGTAAATAAGGTCAAGCTGGGATACTGAAAATAAGGAAAATCTACTAAAAAAAAAAATTAAAATCAACTTCAACTCACACCTTTACTATGAATTTTTTAAACACTAGAGTTAAAAAAGAAAAAAAGCTTTCTGATGAGTTTTATGTCTACCGGGTCTGTTCAAATTCTGACAGAAGAACAAAGATGCACTCAAAACTCAGGCTGGGAGAAAGGAAAAGCAGTAGTAATCACACCCTCAATTCCCTATTACTCCTCCTAACATATACTCATGGAAAGAAACAATCTTCAGTCTAAAGACCCCCCCAAATTTTTTTGCCATGAAACAAACATGCCATATCATATTTATTCCAAAATGGAAGTCTCCCATTTCTTTAGACTTTAAGTGAAAACACACATTAAAAAAAAAATTAGGAAATAGTAAAGTCTATCTATTTTCAGCCATATCTAGAAATGTGTCCCACTGTTCATGTTGGCAAAACAGGGTCTGAAATTGATTCATGTCAGTTAAGATTCCCTTCCAGATTAAAAACAAACACAAAATAAGAAATTTGGGGATGCTGATATCAAGACTCAATCAGCTGGCAGTAAGATTTATGCAGCAGAGTATTTATGATGTTTTCCATTTTAGAATGGTCTCTAGCAAGTTTATGTTCGTACCTATTAGATCAAAAAGTGCAAGGAGAGGCCGGGCTCAGTGGCTCATGCCTGTAATCCTAGCACTCTGGGAGGCCGAGGTGGGTGGATCGCTCAAGGTCAGGAGTTCTAGACCAGCCTGAGCAAGAGTGAGACCCCGTCTCTACCAAAAAATAGAAATTATCTGGACAACTAAAAAAATATATATATATATAGAAAAAATTAGCCGGGCATGGTGGCACATGCCTGTAGTCCCAGCTACTCGGGAGGCTGAGGCAGAAGGATTGCTTGAGCCCAGGAGTTTGAGGTTGCTGTGAGCTAGGCTGACGCCACGGCACTCCAGCCCAGGCAACAGTGTGAGACCCTTTTTCAAAAAAAAAAAAAAAATGCAAGGACAGTTCAAAATATTACATTTGCTGTTTCGAAGAGTACAACTCCAAAGTAATCAGACTCATTACTAACAATGCAGAACTAGACATCCATATTTACATGAATGTCAAAAATCTAATTCCTGTTGTTATCAAATGTGCCCTTTTCCTTAGTCACATCTGACATACTTAAATAAAGCTTTCAAAATTAATGTAACAAAAATGTATCAAAAATCGACCAACTTACACAAAGATTTGTACAAGTTGATTTTTAAAAATTGGTGAAAGAAACCTGGTGACAAGCTTTATGTTCTGTGTATTAAAGCAAAGACAGACTTGACCTACAAAATGAAGATAGGGTCAACTGTAACCAAAAAACAGTATGCTTCCCCTGGTGGCCAACCATGGAATGGAGGAGCCAAGCATAGAAGAGAAAAACCCTGATGAGAAGTGACTACCAAAAAAGGAAAATGTGGGGGAAGGGGAAACTATAAAAAAACACTAACATGGGTTTAAAACGAATACGATTATGGGTGGTAGATTACATAAATTTAAGAGATTTAAATCAACAAACCAAAATTTAGAAGGCAAATTTGGGAAAAGTCATTTCCAGACTGCCCAAGAACTCATCCAGGACCCCTATGCATTCTCACTTCAAAGTACATCCAGAGTTTAGTTCCTTAATAACAGCTTAAGAGCAATCGCCTTTCTCAAGGACTAGATCCTTGCAATTTTCTGCAGTCTTGTTTCCAAGGAAAAGCATCTGTGCATTTATTTTTCAAATAAACTAGTGTTACAATCTACATAGAGAACCTCCAGTTCTAAAACCCTGCAACCAAGGAGGACTGTTAACTCCACCTTTACAAGATGCTCTTTAGAATTTTATTTTTGAAATAAAACCCACGTCCTTTCAAACATTTTCTATACCAACAACCTTTAAAGATAGTCTCATACGGAGATAGGCTACAATCTCACGCATTAAAATCTGACGAATTCCTTTGTCTGACTAGATTTTTTTTCTTGTACCACTTTAAATTTCCTTCCACACAGAACAGCAGCGGCAAGGGAAGTAAATGTTCCATTCTAGGGTGTAGGGATTTCTTGTAGGTGGAAATCATTTGTTAGGCTAAAGGTTCTGATGGTTCTACTCTTTCACAATCTCTACCTCAAAAAAAAAAAAAAAAAAAGGAAATACCCACATTTACAAGATAGGTCCTAAAATCAAACTGCCACACAGGAGCATCTCTTCCCCAGCCAGGCGCCCTCTGGAAAGCACACTTCTTTTATTAACTGATTCTGGGGGTCGTTATGCTACTTGTCCTCAGGATGGGAGCGGAGTCAGGAGGCAGCAAGAGCCCAGGGGAAGGCAGGGGAAAGGCATGCGGGGCAACACTGGGTAAGGGTGGTGAGAAAGGGGTCTCAGGGACCTCCTACGTCCGGGGCGCTCGCAGGACGCTAACTCTCCGGCACTGCCACCTCGACTCCTGGCCGAGGCGCAGCTCACCTGGACGCGGGGACCCCCAGCGCCCCCAGGCCAGGTGTGGCCGCCACCGGCGCCGCCTCCAGTCCTCGGAGGCGCAGGGGGCAGCTGCGCCGGCCCGACCGGGGCGAGCTGGGCCTCCCCCGCGTGCAGAGGCACGTTTGCAGAACACGCGTGTGCGTGTTCCTCCTCGCTCTCGCCCTGCTGTTCTCCCCGCGGACCGCAGGGCCAACACACACACAAAAAGAAAGTTGTCGACGTGCTGCCGCCCCTCGGGTTCGCGGGGGGCTGGGGGCTCCGCTCATTCCCTCCGCCAGCCGGCGAGAGGCTCGGCGCGCGGCCCGGCCCGGGGGACTACTCACCGGGGTCGAAGTCGGGCACCACCGCCTGGTACTGGGGTCCGACCCTCATGCCGCCGCCACCTGCGGGGGAAGCAGAGCACGGCGGTCAGCGGGGCCGGGGCGCGGGGCCGCGGGGACCCGGGGCGGCTGCCACCTACCGTGCTCCTCGTCGCTGGACGAGCCCGAGCTGCCTTCCTCCCAGGAGTTGCTGCTGCTGTTGCCATTGGGCGCCGCCGCCGCCAAACTTTTATTCTGGCCATTATTGGGGGCGGCGGCCGAGGCGGAGGCGGCGACGGCCGGGGCGGAGGCAACGGCGGCCGGGGCGGAGGCGGCAGAACCGGCGGCTGCCGAGCCGGCGGCTGCCGAGGCGGCCGCGTTGTTCCTTCCTCTCCGCTTTCCTGAGACCTCGGGGCCCTTCTCCACCATGGCCGGCATCGGCGGGGGCCGGGGCCGGGCGAAAGTGGCGGGGACCCGCGGCTCCTGAGGAGGGGTCGCCGGGCCGGGGGGAGGGGGCGCGAGTGGGCGCGGGGCCGGGCGGACGCGGCGGGAGCCCACGCGCACGAGTTGGCGCTGGGGGAGGCCCAGGCGGGCAGAGCGCGGAGCCGCTTCAAGCCCCCAAAGCGGAGCCCAGCGCAACTTTCGCTCTCATCGCCGCCCGCACTTCACTGGCACTAACTACTCCGGGAGCAGCGAGCGGGGAGGGCGGGGGGCGGGGCCTGGGGCGCGCGGGGGGGGAGGGCCGCGCGCAGCCGAACACGACGCGCAGTGGCTCCGCCCCCCGCGCTCCCATTGGCTCTTATGGGATTTGGACGGCGAGCGGCGGCCGGGTTGGCTGCGCGCGCCCGTCGGTCCAGGGGCCCGGGGCGGGAGAGTGGGGTGGGGGAGGCTCCGGGCTTCCGTTGGTTAGGTTCGGTTGACGCGTATCGCCCACTGTACGTGGTTTGAGGTTTGCAATCTCTCTACGCCCCATGATCCATCTCTCTAGGCAATAGCTAGGAGTTAGCTGCCCTCTGCGCCCCTCCCCCTGCCGCGGCCCCTACCCCTCCCACCCGTGCGCGCCTCCCGCGGCCTCGGCCCCCACAGTCTCCGAAGGCCCCCACTGGGCGTCCCATCGGCTTTAGAAAGTAAAATGTGCCGACGCGAGAATAGAAATTGAACGCAAGATCGGGACTACTTTCCCCTCGCGCGGAGGATTACAGGCCGCAGTTTGAATGGGCTCTATACAAAGAGGGGAAACTAATTGGAAGAAACTAAGTGCGCCCCCGCCTTTCCCAAGGGGCCTGGGGACGAGCCGGGCCTGGGAGCCGCGGGGCGGGGGGCAGGGTTCCCAGGTGACAGGCCCCCAGGGGGAACCAGGGTGGGAGCTGCGACACTGTGGTGCTCTCCGCTAATTGGGTGGGGGGAGGTTGGAAGTCGCCGGAACTGCCGAGTTGCCGGCCGCGAGGGTCCTCTCGGCCCTGGCGGGCGCCCGGACGGCCAAGCCATCCCCATGGCCGGGTAAAGCCCCGGCGCGGCGACGGGGGGCGGACCTACAGATATGGGCTGGGGGCCAGGCAGGGTAAAGGGGAAGAAGCTATTTTTCATCCCAAGCCCTTGGTAGGGGAGGGAGGTCTACTTCCTCTGAGGCAAGAGCAGCCACTTTTCCGGATCTGTTGCCTGCCCTGCTTCCCCCGCTCCACCCCGGGCACCCCTGCGAGGGATGCCACAGGGTACCGGGAGGGTTGGGGTCGGCTGAGACCCCGCCTGGGACACCCTCGCCCTGCGTAGTGTTTGCCGGCCGGCCCCGGGACTGCTTTGCGGCCGTATGGGGGGCGGGGGGACTGTGCCTGCCCCACCCCTACCGACCCCCGAAACAACGCCGCCCCCAAACAACGGGCTGTTCATAATTAGACCAGAGAAGGGCTGTACATGAAATCTTTCTTTTCCTTTTTTTTTAAAGCAAAGGGTGGCTGCGTTTCTTTTAAGTTACTTCAAACCTGAGCTTAATAGGAGGACCAGCTCAGGATATAAATAGCTACAAGGGAGAAATCGGCAGTTCTATGGTTTTGAAGCCTGAATAAATAAGCAGGGTTTTATATAGCACATTTTCTGCAGCATGAACCATCATTATTAACTTCATTGAAGTGACCACGTTCACTTCTGCCTAAGTGGCCTTTATGAAACATGGCCGGAGCCCTACCCTTAGAGAAGCCCTGTCCCCACCCCCCCAACTCCCGCCAAGTTCAGGGTCGCAGCTCCCGAACTTCCCTCAAAAGGACCCTGCTCTCCTTGGAGAGCCCAGGCGCAGCAGGTGTGTGCCCCGTGCTCCCTGTCAGCTGGTCTGGGCAGTGTACAGACGGCAAAGCCAAGGGTTAGGAACCAACCGGGGTGGCATTATGGGCTGGGCCTCCTGGCTGAGGCCTGTGACTCACGCAGAGGTGAGCGCTGTGTGAGGAGTGAGGCTAAGAGTCCTCTGCCCGGCTGGCTTGGTGTCTACGAGGTTCCACCACCAGTCTCAACCCACAAGGCAAAAGAGGGCAGCAGGGATGGCAGGGCACAGAGGGTCACCCTCCCCACCCACCAACTCCCCCGAGTTGGGGCCACTTCCATGGCTGGGTTCCAACCATGCAATTTTTTTTTCAACAAATATTAACACCTAACAAGTGTCAGGCTCTATTCTAGTTCGTCTGGCTGCAGTGCGACCCGGGCACTATATTGGCCTGCAACCTCTCAGATTTCTCATCCATCAAAAGCAGGGCCTGATAGGTTTTTATAGAGTCCATCTCCCCAGCCCCTCTCTGCGTCCACGCGGAGAAGCCGGACGCGAGGGAAGCTCGCCTTCCTGCTGCTCGGGGTGGGGGAGTCTGTGATCAACGCGCCCCACCTCCCATGTTCTTCGGTGAGACGCCCCCACTCTGAAACTAAGATCTCACTCCTCCCCTGCCCTTACTCCTCCCGCAGCCCCTTTTGCCCGGGCTCCCAGCCTCACCTCCCTGTTCAGAGAAAAACTGAAGCCATCAGGCTGCTCCTCTCTCCTCTTCCAGCCCCCAAACCGACAAATGCCCCTGCCCGACGCCCGCCTCCTCAGGCCCGCTCTCCCCGGTCTTGGGAACCCACATCAGCTCTCGGCTTTCCTGTGCCATCAACCTCTCTCTGGGTGACCCCAGGTCAGCTTTTTCCACAAAAAGGGGAAGACTGCCCCGTGCTCCCGAGGCCCCCTCCTGCCTCGGAGCCATCTCCCCACTCCCCTCCCGGGCACACTCCCCCACAGGCCTGTTTGCGCCTGCCCCCTCCACGCCTCCCTTCCCAGTCTCTCCGCACCCCGCCCATCAGGGCCGTGTCCCCACCCCTTAACTCTTGCCAAGGGCACCCACGGCCTCCCTGCTGCCCAACCTGGTGGTCATTTTTGGTCTCACTGAGCCTGTCAGCAGCTCCTGTGTCGCCCACTCCTCCTGGAAACTCCTGGCTTCTCCGGGCCTCAGAGCACGGTGCTCCCCTGTCCTCCTACCTCACAGACCACTTACCCTCTGCCTCCTTGGCAGCCTCCACCCCCCTTCCAACCTGTAATTGAGGTTCCTCCTTGGCCTTTCCCTTTCTGTGTGCCTGGTACGTAGTAATTGCTCATTAAACACTCGTTGAGTGAGGCGTGAACGCGTGGCTAGACGAATGCATGATAGGGGATACAGGCTGCTGTGGTACACAGGGCAGGAGCCAGCCCCAGGGAGGAGAGGGCCCTGGAACAACTAAAATCCGACAGAGACACTGGATGTGGGATGAGGAGGACTTATGTTTTGTCAGCCCAACATCCTTCTAGAGGTACCGCTTCCCCAACCTCCTCCTTCTGGGGGGCAGCTTGTGAGTATCCACTGCCAGACCAGCACATGACCCAGGCCTGGCCAATCAGAGCTCCCCAGCCCCTTGGCTGCAGTGATTGGCTCAGGCATGGGCACATGACCTAGCCAGGCCAATCAAGGCTCTTTCTGGAACTCCCAGGAAAGAATCTCTCCTTTTCTGAGAGCAGGACCTAAGGAGCAGGAAAAGCTAGAACCTCTAGGGCAGGGCCCCAGTTGGGGTGAGGCAAGCCAGGTGCCCGGGGCGCCTGAGGGGAGGCCCTCCTTCCATTCTGCGCCCTGGACACCTGTCCCTTGGAGCCCTCCCCCCACCAGTGTGTGGGAAAAGGCGGGCTGAGTCTGGGAGAAGGAAGCTGGGAACTGACAGGCTCCTTTGAACTTCCCCGACCCATACACCAAGCCTGAAATCCTGGCCTTTTAAATCGATCAATTTTAGAAAGAGTCCTGAATGATACAGATAACTAGGCATTTACCTGGTAAGGAGCAGGGGGAAGAACATTCCCTCCTGAGGGAAAGGCCTAATAATAGCTAATACCTGTAACTGTATGCCTGGTGCTGCTCTCAGCACTGAAATCAAGAGCTCTTTTAATCCCCTCAGGTAAACACTGTAATGACCATGTCATCCCCACCCTGGAGATGAGGAAACTGAGGCACCTAGAGGTGAAGTGATCTGCCTAACGTCTTGCACGTGGGGGGTTGGAGCGAGGGCACGTCTAAGCCACAGAGCCGTGCAGCCTCCTGCTCAGGGACAGAGCTGCTCCAAGAATGCTGCGAGGTTGAGGGGCAAGGAGATGTGCAAACTGCCTTGTCTGATTTCTACACATACAGCCTTTATGATTCTTACTGCTGTGATTTATTATTTTTATTACCATTACTTTCCATATATATATTTTTTAAGAGCTAGGCTGGAGTGCAGTGGCATGATCAGTGCTCTCGGCAACCTCAAACTCCCGTCTCAGCCTCCCAAGTAGCTGGGACTACAGGCTCACAACCATGCCTGGCTCATTCTTTTGTATTTTTAGAGATGGGGGAGGGTCTCACTCTGTTGCCCAGGCTGGTCTCAAACTCCTGACCTCAGGCAATTCTCCCTCCTCGGCCTCCAAAAGTGTTGAGATTATTTGCGTGAGCCACTGCATCCAGCCATATTAGATGGCTTGTTAGAAAACTCTGCTTGGTGGCTGGGCGTGGTGGCTCATGCCTGTAATCCTAGTACTCTGGGAGGCTGAGGCAGAAGGATCACTGGAGCTCAGGAGTTCAAGAGAGACCAGCCTGAGCGAGACTGAGACCTCGTCACTACTAAAAATAGAAAAATTATCCTGGCATCGTGGTGTATGCCTGTAGTCCCAGCTACTCAGGAGGCTGAGGCGGGAGGATTGCTTGAGCCCAGGAGTTTGAGGTTGCAGTGAACTATGATGACGCCAGTACACTCTACCCAGGGCAACAGAGTGAGACTCTGTCTCAAAAAAAAATAATAATGAAAGAAAAAGAAAATTCTGCAGAGAATTGGCAATTCTGTTTCCCCGAGGATGGAGCCAGGCAGAGGGTAGGGTATGGGCCGGGGCTGGGAGGGGGCAGGAAAACAGCCCTGAAACTAGAGCCTCCAAA